CGAAACCCAGCTTGTACTTCTGGCAGTTCTCTTTCCACGTACTGCTGAAGCCTAGGTTGTAGGATCTTTAGCATGACCTTGCTAGAGCGTGAAATGAGTGCAATTATGCAATAGTTTGAACATTCCTTGGCATTGCCCTTCTTTGGGATTGGAATGTATACTGACCTTTTCCAATCACAATCCTGTGGCCACTGTTGTGTTTTCCGAATTTGCTGGCAAATTGAGTGCAGCACTTTAACAGCATCATCTTTTAGGACTTTGAATAGCTCAGCTGGGATACCATCACCTCCACTAGCTTTGTTGTTAGTAATGCTTTCTAAGGCCCATTTGACTTCGCATTCCAGGATGTCTGGCTCAAGGTCAGTGATTACACTGTCATGGTTGTCAAGGACATTGAGGTTCTTTTTGTATAGTTCTGTGTATTCTTGCCATCTTTTCCTAATCTCTTCTGCTTCTGTTAGGTCCCTACCATTTTTATCCTTCATCATGGCCAGCTTTGCATGGAACGATCCCTTGATTTCTCCAATTTTCTTGAAGAGATCTCTAGTCCTTCCCATTCTATTGTTTTCCTCTATTACTTTGCATTGTTCATTCAGAAAAGCCTCCTTATCTCTCCTTGCTGTTCTCTGGAAATCTGCATTCAGTTGGGTAAATCTTTCCTTTTCACCTTTGCCTTGTGCTTTCCTTCTTTCCTCTGCTATTTGTAAAGCCTCATTAGACAGCCACTTTGCTTTCTTGCATTTCTTTTTCTTTGGGATAGTTTGCCTTGGATTCGGACCGAGATCGGACTGACACTGAAGTGCCATTTAAATCCTTGCTGGTCAAATGCTTTTATTGATATTGGGTTGTTGCTCTCTGTTCTGATTGTTTTATTGTAGTTGACTGTGTGTGTGGTTGAGGGGATGAGCCGCTTCATGTGCAGGAAACGTGTGATACAATTCTTTCCAAAGAATGAATAGATGTGTGCCATTGGGGCTTTGTGCAGAACTGCCACAGACGATATCCCTTCAGTTTCACAATCTCTTGGGGCCCAGCAGTTACTATGTCTCTGTTTGTGTATATGTGTGTGTATTTTGTACACACACACACATTCACACACTTATGCATAAATAAATGAAATGCAGCAGCCAGCGTCTGCTTCATGCATCCAGTGAGACGGACCCGAGTCTATGCAGGTTAATGCAAATCTGTTACTCTTTAAGGTACTGCGGGACTCCTTTACTTAGCACTTAAACCTTCCTGAGATTGTTCATGTTGACCTCTCTCCATCCCCTTCTGATCAACGAAAATGCTTGTACCAGCCTTTTTTGCAAATAACCTCAAAAGACTCAAGCGTCTCTCTGGCACCTGGTCAACCAAACTTGTTTATTTTAATGTCAGGTTCGGGTTTTGGAGCTGCCATCCAAGACATCAGTCTGTACCTTGAAGCCAGAGGCCGATGCCAAACTGGGCGTGCCCCTGTGTCTGAAACTGTGGCAGGTAAGCCAACGGGAGCTTGCTAATTTGGAAATGCTTCCCCTCTGATTCATTTTTTTTAAAAAAAATACGGAGCGCATGAATCATTCCTCAGTCCGGGTCTTGTTGATAGATTGTCAAAGGCAATCAAGTAATTATCTCATTACGGGTGGGAGGGAAACGAGAACATCCTTGGCCTCACTGCCAGAGCTTTCCAGATAATACGGGGTGTTTTGCCAACGTTCCCTGCAAAGCGTAGCGTGGCCGTGTTTGTGTGCACCTTCTTCATCCGTTGAGAAGAAAGTGAGTCAGACGCACTGAAGATTAATGTTGGATCGTCTTTGCACACCATCCAACTGATGACAGTCTGATTGATTTAACGTTCCGAGGTCTAGGCATTCATCACGGCACTGCTGAAGAAACGAGAAGCTGAACCACCGGTCCATCCATCTACTTCAGTATTGTCTACTGTGAATGGCAGTGGCTGTCCAGGATTACTAGTATCTGGGAGATCCAAGTTCAGATCCCCACTCGTGCCATGGAAGCTTGCCAGGTGATGTTGGGCCAGTTGCTCCCACTCAGCCTGGCCTACCTCACAGGGTGGTTGTGAAGATAAAATGGAGGAGAATGACGTAAGACACTTCGGGTCCCCATTGGGGAGGAAGATGGGGAATAAATGAAATAAACCAATAAGCGGAGAGGAGTCTGTCCTTGCTGTTCTCTGAGATGCTTTAACGGGGAGATGCCAGCGATTAAGCCATCTGCATGTAGTGACTGTGCGAACCTGCCAAAGGGAGTGACAGGCTGGAACTATGATAACTAAAACATACAATTAACAAAATACTCTTTCACAGGCCTTGTAAGAACATAACAGACAAATGTCAAAATATTCTTTGAGCTCAAAAACCATGTAATCCGTAGTATCACAGAGTGGTATTTGTTTCTTATATTCCTAGATGTTCTTGGCCTGGGGTGCAAAGTTTGTTGATGGTTATATACATATATATATTTATCTGAACACAAGAAGAGCCCGGCTGGATTAGACCAGTGGTCCATCTAGTCCAGCGTCTTGTCTCACACAGTGGCCCAGCCAGTTCCTCTGGATGTCCAACTACAGGGCATAGAGGCTGAGGCCATCCCCTGATGTTGCCTCCTGGCTCTGGGATTCAGGGGTTTAGTGCCTCTGAATGGGGAGGTTCCCCTCAGTCACCATGCCTTGTTTGTCCCCCCTTTTTTAAAAAAATGATTGCATGGAATGTGAGTCTTTCCTCTTCTGGTGGTGTGAGCAGTAGTCTAGAGAAATCCCCAGCAGAGCAGGGGAAGGAAGTACCCCTCCCCCACCTGTTTCAGATCAGAGTTCCTGTTCTGTTATTTTCCCTACTCTTAGCACTGGGACCTGTTTTGGAGGCTAGTGTGGTGGTGGAGCAACTAGAGTGTCTAACAGAGCTCTGGCCATGAACTTCGTTGGTTGACCTTGGGCTCCTTGCTGCCTCTTAGCCTATTCCATAGGATCGTAATGAGGATAAACGGGAGAACCGTGTAGGTGGGCCTTGTCTGGAGACGTCTGAGGATCACAACCTACATGATGTCCTGGGCAGACTGATTCAGACATTCAGACAGTTGCTTGGGAGCTGTTTCCTGACAATATAGCCCTACACACCACTCCGCTAATGTCTAATGGGCAATCTCCACAGGTTTGGTAGGTGAGGTGGTTACTTCCTACTTGAAAGTTGGCCGCTTCCTAAGGAGGTGAGCCTGGCACAGGCCCGTAGCGACAGTGGGGCTTTTGGGGGCTCTGCCCCCATTCTTAAAGGCGCGGCCTCACAAGAATTTCTCCTGTAAATGCTTTTTTCAGTCATTTAAAAACATTTTTTTTAAAGGAGTGTGCTCCTTTAAGCAGAGTGGGGTGCTGTAGTTGACTAATTCCTGCACTGAGCAAGAGGGTTGGAGTAGGTGACCTCTAGGATCCCTTCTAACTCCGTGTCAACAAACTGGTCTCCTTTAAGAGAGCTTTCCTGCCTAAGTGTTAGCTTTCTTGACTATGGAAGTCATCACCCCCACCTGCCGGCTCATTATCGGAATTGTTGCTTAGGCTGGCAGAAGTGATTAACTTGCAGCAGCTGAGAACTGTCATCGTCAGTGGTTGACAGCTTGCAATTTAGAGATCTACCCTGGTAACAGCTTTCTTTTGGCTCAATGGCTTTTCTTTCTGCACTGAGAACTTCAGCCCCACCAGAAAAAAAAAATGCCCCACAAGCCACAAAATCCTGGCTACAGGCCTGCCCTAGCATAGAAAGAACCACATTGTTCGCCCTGTTTGTCGTTTCTCTATCAGAAGCAGTATGAGGGAGGCTATACCACAAAGGGTCAGTTCCCATGGTGCCCGGCCTTCCTCTTCCTCCTCCTCCCTCATGACTCTCTATTCCGGCTTTCACCCGTTGCTGCTTCTTGGTCTCACCGCTTCAGTCACTCACGCCTAACCTCGCAGCAGCACCGCCAGGGAACCAACAGCTGCCTCTTCTTGACTGGAGCAATCTTAATCATATCTTTGTTTTGTGAAAAGTACTCTTTTAATTAACACTTTATCATGTATACAAAGTCATTTGGAAGACTGTCAAAAAAGGAGGAGAGTCGCCGTCAACTTGGCAGATGTCACGTCTTACTGCAGTTTATATAAAGTGCTTACTGCGTTTCCAGTTTCTACATGAATCCCTGTTTAAAAAAAAATTTTTTTTTCCCTTTCACCATTGCACAACACAGCTCCTTGCCTGGTGGGAAAATTAAGGAAAGATGGTTCTCGTTTATGTAAATCAGGCCCCTCCTACGTAGCTATAACAGGAGAGTATGCTACTTTTAGAAGACTGTGTGTATATATCCAATCTGACCAGATTTTGAAGAAGTACTCCTTAAGTGTCTAACAAGGACAGCAGGTTAAATCTGAAAAGTTCCCTTAAACTGACGAAACTTCCATCCATACAAGTTCTATGAACGGAAGTTTTGTTTCTCTCACAGAAAATAATGTAAAGTATAACAGTAACACAGCGCAATCGTTATATGAACAGTAGTCTAAAGTTTGACACCCATAAAGTCCAGTGTCAAGAACACAGGCTAATTCACTGGCCCTTCCCAAACAAGCAAGTTCATTGGTCCATTCGATGCAGTCTTGAAACCATGGGGAGCTTCTGCTGGAGACCTTGTGGAACAACTGCCAATCAGAGCAAACAACACTGCTTTAGATGGACCAATGCACATGTTTGTGCTGAGTCCGACCGTTGGTCCATCTTGCTCAATGTTGGCTATGTCTGCTACTCTCCATGATCTCAGCCAAAGAGTAATTAACATACTTCTTCGCCCAAAGAGTAATTAACATGTGGAATTAACTGCTGCTAGAAGTGGTGGTGGCTACAAGCACAGATAGCTTCAAGAAGGGATTGGATATACATACGGAGCAGATGTCCATCACTGGCTATTAGCCACAAGGTATAGATGGGACACTCTGTCTGGGGCAAGTGATGCTCTGTATTCTTGGTGCTTGGGGGGGCAACAGTGGGAGGGCTTCTGGAGTTCTGGCCCCACTAGTGGACCTCCTGATGGCACGGGGGTTTGGCCACTGTGTGACACAGACTGTTGGACTGGATAGGCCACTGGCCTGATTCATCATGGCTTCTCTTATGTTCTTAAAGGATTTCCTAGCCCTGGGTCTGAACTTGGGGCAATTCCGCTCCTAAAGCATGAGCTTGTATCCAGTGTTCCCTCTAAGCTGAGTTAGTGTGAGCTAGCTCACAGTTTCTTATCCTCCGGCTCACACATTTTTGTCTTAGCTCAGGAAGGATGGCGCCAGTCCAGACCAAACTAATTTATGCAGTAGCCAAATCACCTGCCTGCTCACAACTTTAATGCTGATAGCTCACAAAGTAGAATGTTTCGCTCACAGGACTCCACAGCATGAGCTTGTATCCTTGTCAGGCAGACTACTTCTGATTCAGTTCCATGCTGTCCCCAGCCTGTCATTCCATCTGTTGACTAGTTCCAACAGTGGGCATTTTCCCAAGGCTAGTTATACACAGGGGAGAACATGGACCTTGGGCCCGATAGAGGAGGGGCAGCCGAGCTTAAAAGCAAGTGCTCAAGCAAGGCTGTTTTCTTTCCCAAGGAAAGTTCTCACCAGCAGGAACCTCACTTCTTTTTTCTGTTACTGTAACTGCCGCTAAAATGTATAGTTTAGCAATGTGAATGTGAGATTAGTCTGAAAGAGTTACGGAGGAAAATGAGGTGCGGGATTATCCGGAGCAACAAGTAACAGAGCTCAAAAAGCTTATATTTTTTAAAATCTTGTTCTAGAATCTTTACAAGATTAATAAGAAATACATTTGGAAACCACGGCCATAACGATGAGCGTGCTCTGCTGTTGAAGCGCAGTAGAGTCTGGGGCCAAGTTGGCTGGCTTTTCTCCCTTTTTGAAAACCATAACTGGTGTTAACAGGCGTGTGTTTTTTAATTTTCTTTTATTAGGGCTTGGAGTCTTCATTCGATCACCAGCCTTCCGATTTACGGGGTCATTATTCTTTTGCCGCACAAAGACGAATATTTCCCTTTAAGTGTGACATGTAATCCAGTAAAGTTCCTTTCTTTGAGTTATTTCAGAGGCTTAAATAAATTAGGTGACTGCCCAGGGTGTCATGCCCTTTGGCCTGTGACATCATTAATCAAAATATCTCTCAATTGGTTACAGTCGGACTTGGACCTGTTAACTCTTTGGGACCTAACTCAGAAGCTTTTTTTAACTTTTTTGAGTGTGGGGGGGAGAGTCTTAAATGGTATTCGGAAAGATGCTTATCTTGAGCATTTTGTTATCTTAAGGGGGGAAAGGGAATATGTTATGAATGAGAGAAGCTAACAAGCTGCAGGGTCAAGCATGGTTATGGGTATGTGGGTATGGGCGGGGGCGACAATGGGGAAATTTCCCTACCCAAATATTTATTTATTTACTTATTTGACTTATATCCCACCCTCTCTGCAAGGCAATCTCATGGCGGCTTGCAAAAACTGTATAAAACAAGTAAACAGAGAATTCATTTACAGTTACAGTTACGAATTCATAAAATCACAAAATATTCCCCTGCAGGACATAAGCTCTAAGAAGCTTGAGCAGGCCAGTTTCCGTGTCCCTCCTATTTTAGTTTTTATTCCTCCTGTAACTGATACTTAACTTATTCTCAACATTTTCTTCCTCTAAAGCTTGCTAGGTGCCTCATCAGACTGTTGCAGGGGGAGGCAGTGTTCTTTCAAGCATGCCTGAAGATTCCACGGAGTGTGCAGAAACCTCTCCCTTACCAGTGACTTGACTATGAGCCTCACTATTACTTGGAACTAGCTGGGGGAAATCACAAAAAGACTAAGGGTGGGGGTGGGGGGATTTGGACTCTTTTCCCCATTCAAGTCTTCCCATTTTGTAAGGGGCTTGCAGGTCATTCCCCACCCCCTCTGCTTCGCCCCACCTTCAATTCTCAACTGCTCTCAACATGCCATGCAGTGTTCCCTCTAAGCTGAGTTAGTGTGAGCTAGCTCACAGTTTTTTAGCCTCCGGCTCACACATTTTTGTCCTAGCTCAAGAAGGATGGCTCCAGTGCATACTAATTTATGCAGTAACCAAATTGCTCGCTCACAACCTTAATGCCAGTAGCTCACAAAGTAGAATTTTTGCTCACAAGACTCTACAGCTTAGGGGGAACATTGATGCCATGTCTTCTGGTGCATGCTCAGTCCTCACCAGGCTGCCTTGGGTTTTTCCGCTGGCTTCCTTTCTGGTTAATTTATGAAGATATATTTTTCTGCATGCCTGAGCAACATGGTATTGCTGCGTTTGAGCTTGCCATGAGCTACCCACTTCACCGTTACATGTAACGCCGGATAACCAAAACCCAGACTGTGAATAAACATACTGAGATCTTGAGACGGTCAGCGTTAGAATGTTTTAATTGTGCAGGTATAATCTTTCCAGTAGCCTTTTCCTTCCCTGAAAACCAGCCTACATATCAAAACAGGCTTTTGAGTATGATAGCCCTTTTGGATATTCACTGGAGTGAGAAGGGGTTGGGAGCACCAGGCACTGATCTACAGTTGTGCCTTTTGGAGTCTTGCATGCACCCTAGATTGGCTCGGCAAGCTTGGACCCATTCGGCGGGTGTCGCACAAACTGTTCTCATTGCCCATACTGTGTTTTTTCCATCAGCCCAGCACTGGTCCATCCCTTCTGGCACAAACTGTTCTCATTGTCCATACTGTGTTTTCCCATCAGCCTAGCGTTGGTTCGTCTCCTTCCCTTCTGGCTGGCTACGAGGATGGGTCACTGGTTCTGTGGAATTTGTCAGTGGGGAAAAGCCTGAGTCGACTCGCATGTCATCAGGAGCCAATCATGGCCCTTGACTTTGACTCGGAGAAGGCCAAGGGGGTGTCGGGCTCGTCTGAGAAGATGCTGTGCGTCTGGAGGCAAAATGAGCAGCAGGACCTAGAGGTCAGTGCCGTTGCCCTCTCTGTGCCATTTGTTCTGTTTTGCACTAAACTATTTCGATAGACTGAAAAAATATTTAGTCATGAAGTGCAGTTGTTGCAGATCCCGTGCTGATTAATCACAGACTGGCTGTGATCCAGGAGAGGCTGGCTATAGGTGCGTATGCTTTTGAACCTGCAAGACTCTACTTTAGATCTTATAGTACTCAATCCCTAGCTTATATTTCTAAATAGTGTGACTTTGTTGTTGGATACGTTATGATAATAGGTGTGCCGATCATATGACATTAAAGCTTTCTCTTTCTCTCCCAGGTATGTACTCTAGCTTTCAGGATCTTACGTTAGGAAAATGGGACTTATAGTTTTGAAAAATGCAATCTGTGTGGTGATACAATCCCTTGTTTAGAAATTTGATTCTGGATTTTAAACATCAGTATTGAATTCGAGCAAAGGGAAAGGTATAGACACACAGACATCCATTTTTCTACAGTGACAAGCAGTAATAAAGCATATTCAGTAGAATAACTACCACACAGAACAGAGGGCATAGGAAAAAAGGAGAGCAAATATTTCAATTCAAACAGTGTCAGATAATAAAGATGCTACAATAACCAACATTTCTGTATTAGAGCAAGTTTCCATAATTGTTGATACAAGGGAAGCTATAGGCTCCCATCACTTAGCAATCTCCACTGAGGCTGCTATTAGAAATGTAATCACTTGGTGGGCCATGAGGAATTTTAGGAATCCACAGTTTGGAAATCCCACCTTTCATCCCCAAGGTCTTCCCTTCCAGGGGTTCTCTTAAGTACTGAGGGGCTTGAAGCAAGCTGATTCCCCCCTCCCCTTTTCTTTAGCTGATGCTTGGCTGCCCTCAACATTTCATACTTTCTAGGGCATATTTAGTCCTCATCAGTCTGGTCTTTGAAGATCTTTTTTTCTCTTGATGAATTTACAAATACTTTTACTAAATACCCAGGGAGTCTGATTATGTAGAACCATCTGCCTTGCTTGAGAAGGGTCTGTTTTTGCATCTTTCCTCATTCATACTGGAACCAGCCAGTCGACTATTACCAGGATGTCGTTTACCACACTGGCAGTGGAATCCTAAACAGAATTACAATCTACTAAGAACTTAGAAAGGTGCAGTTCTGTTTAGGATTGCACTGTGTAACTCAACTGTAAATAAATTCAGCAAAGCAAGTTTTAGATCTGTATTTTATCGCTAATCTTGAGATTTTACTAACTTCTGGGAATATCTGTGTCCCCAAAACTATAAATTAAGCTTTGGGCCTGCTGCACGTGGTAAGATGTGCCTTTTGCAATCCAAAGTCATTCCACACATTATGGGGAGGATTCTTTTCTAATTCTCAAGGTCACATTAGAAGCATACCATAAACTTGGGGACTATCTTTGAATTTAATTTTCATGTGCATGTCACCATTTTTGGAAGATAGCAGCAAACAGCAGTTAATTGACTAACTGCATTGATCAGCATTTCATTCTTCCTGCGAAACTGCTGCTTTCTGATGCTGGACACTTGACAGGCCTTGATATATGAACAAACATCCTGAGAATTTAAAGCTTTTCATCCCCCCCCCCCTTGCCTCTTTGTCTCCAGTTTCATAGAATTCTTGGCATCATAATTTTATGATCATTGGCATCATTCTACCTTTCACCTTTCCCCCCTTTTTTAGCATATATATAACATAGTAGGGAATTCCTTAATGTGTTTATGCCTTGCACTTTTCCACCATCAGCTAAAGATTACTTGTTTCCAAGTAAGGACTGAGCCAGGCATTGTTTTTAATGTTAATTGGTTACTTATTTAGTGCACTCTGGTATTTAAAGGATAGATTTTACTGGGATTTTAAAGTGTTTCATTACTATCAGTTTCTATAGTTTCTCCATTGCCTTAAGCACCTCTGTTTGGAATGGCAACTAAAATGTGATAGATAAATATGGGATCTATGTTCTGTATTATTGCGTATTACTTATACAAAAAATAAGCTTTGTTTTTAAAGAGCCAATTTGGTGTAGTGGTTAGGAGCGCAGACTCTAATCTGGGAGAACCGGGTTTGATTCCCCACTCCTCTACATGTAGCTGCTGGTCTGACCTTGGGTCAGTCACAAGTTCTGTCAGAGCTGTTCTCTCATGAGCAGTTCTCAAAAGAGCTTTCTCAGCCCCACCTGTCTGTTGTGGGGAGGGGGAGGGAAAGGAGATGGTAAGCCGCTCTGAGACTCCTTTGGGTAGCCAAGGGTGGGGGATAAATCCAATCTCTTCTTCTTCTTCTGTTGAAACTCACAGAATGGACTACATATTGCTTTAAATGAAGAAGAGGTTAATGTCCCAACTTGTACATTCACCTAAAGTGGCTCCTTTAGAAGCATAGTAGGGAAGCAGTAACTCTTCCCTTGTAACATTAAGAACATTAGTAGAGCCTGCTAGATCAGACCACTGGTCCATCTAGGCCAGCACTGGAGGCTCCTTTCACCAGGGCGCGTAGCCATTGATGGACCTCTCCTCCATGAATCTGTCTAACCCCCTATTAAAGCCATCTATGCTTATGGCCATCACTATCTCCACTGGCAGTGAATTCCACAGTTTAATTACATATTAAGAAAAAAAAGTATTTCTTATAAAAAAAAATTAAAAGTAAAGAAGTCTTTCCTTTTGTCTGCCCTGACCTATATAGCCAAGCTAGCCCAATCCCATCAGATCTCGGAAGATAAGCAGGGTTGGCCTCGGCTAGTATTTGGATGGGCAACTTCCAAGGAATACCAGGGTCGTGATGGAGGGGTAGGCAATGGCAAACCACCTCTGAAACGTCTCTTCCCTTAAAAACAAGTCTAGCTTGCCACCTTGTGGTGTATAACACTAAAAGAGCTTCTGGCTGCCAGACAATCCTAGGATCTCCTGGCTGTACTACACACACTACCATATGATGATAATCATTGTTATTGATGACGATGTTATTTGTCCTGAACCTGTTTCCCAACAACTTAATTGAGTGCCCCTGAGTTCTAGTATTATGTGAGAGGGAGACCCCCAGGCATAATTTTATAAACCTCCCTTTAGCCATTTCTTTTTCTTGGCTGAAAAGTTCCAGACTTTCCAGTCTCTCACCAGGACTACAATAATAAGTGCCTAATACTTTTGTTTTCCTCCTACACTGAGCCATCTTGGGGTCACCCAGTTAAAATTTTTAAACCATTCTAATGGGCTTTGGATCTTTGGTCTGAAATTTGAGTCTTGGGTTGAAGTTCTTTGGACAGACCAGGCTGTAATAGGAAAGGGGGCTTATTAATATGAAAGAAGGGCAGGACCTTCTCCGCCCCCCCCCCTTTTTTTTTTGGAAAAAGAGGAGCCGGAACTCTCAAGAGCGATGTGAAGTTTTCGATCCGTATACTGAGAACTCACGAACTTTTAGACATTTTTAAAATAATGTTGCCGGTTCCGGAACTCTGTTCCAGCGCGTTCCGCCAGAAAAAAGGCCCTGAATGGTATATATACTGTTTCAGTTGACCAAAACAGAGAAAAAAGGCCCTGAAGAATGGTGTATATATACTGTTTCAGTTGACCAAAACAGCTGCTTCATTAAAACAGCTCCTGAGCTAATTGCACTTGGTGGTGGTTGTGAAGATAATGACACCAGATGGTAATTCTCACTCTGTAATCTATCCATCGATTTTAAAAGCATCAGTCCCAAGAGGTTAAGTGGTACTTCATTAGGGGCAGTTCTTGCAGTGTCAAAGAAGCCGCACATGGGTTGTTGGTAAAATACATAAGAAGGTGAGAGCCCTCTGTATTTCTGTCATTTCCACAGTGCCTAGATAGTGCCAGTCTGCAGTGTGGATAAACTAACGTAATTTACATTTTTAATCACAGTTAAGACTCTAGTCCTGTGCACGCTTTTGAAAGAATCACTTCTAGTGAAGTCAATCGGACTCCATGGCACTGAATCAAATGTTCTGGACAGAGGGCTGCCGTGTCAAATATTCCCCTCATGTGAAAAGCTCCCTGCAGGTGGAAAGTGAGCCTGCCAGGAAGAAGCGCTGTAGCCTAGCCTTCTCCATGATTAACTCTTTGCACAAGCCAAGAAGAAGAAGAGATTGGATTTATACCCCACCCTTCACTACCCAAAGGTGTCTCAGAGCGGCTTACAAACTCCTTTCCCTTCCCCTCCCCACAACAGACACCCTGTGAGGCAGGCAGGGCTGAGAGCTCTGACAGAAACTGTTCTTTTTCAAGAACAGCTCTTATCAGAACTATGGCTTGCCCAAGGTCATCTAGCCAGGTGCAAGTGGAGGAGTGGGGAATCAAACCCAGTTCTCCCAGGTTAGAGTCCGCGCACTTCACCACTACACCAAACTGGTTCTCAGTTTTTGCCTCTCATATATGTGACCCCTCTCCCTGAAATAGTGCAGACTTAGGAGAATAGACCATATGTTTGTTTTCTGAACCAGCTGCATTTGAGGGAGATGACTGCCTGCTTCCTGACCTCTGTACGATGGTCTTGCTGGTGACCAATAGGTCCCTGTCACACTCGTAACCAGTGTTCCCTCTAAGCTGAGTTAGTGTGAGCTAGCTCACAGTTTTTTAGCCTCTGGCTCACACATTTTTGTCTCAGCTCAGGAAGGATGGCTCCTGAACAAACTAATTTATGCAGCAGCCAAATCACTCGCTCACAACTTTAATGCCAGTAGCTCACAAAGTAAAATATTTGAATCACAGGACTCCACAGCTTAGAGGGAGCATTGCTTGTAACGTATCTCAGTTTTGCTTAAAAACCAAGTAAGAATCTGAGGGCAAAGTAGCCTGACTCACAACACAGTGGCGCATATCGTGAGCTAGGGATATTCTCATTTTGAGCCCTTTCCAAAGTTCAGTGACCTTGCTTATTGTACTTGATGGTGGCTGGTGTCTTGATAATAACAGCCCTTAGGTATGGTTGTCCTGAATGGTCCCTGTCCTTTTTTCGTTCTTTCTTTCTTTCTTTGTATAACATTGGCTCGGGACCACTTTCCTCATGGCAGCCCTCCCTGGTCCGTTGTCTCCCCAATGAAAGCACTAAAAACCACTCAAAGACACAAATACATGAAGTTGTCCTCCTCCACCCTCTCCCCTACTGGATTAATAATCCAAACCAGATGGGGCTTTCCCTTGACATTCCATGTTCCTGAGGTAATGATGGTGTTTGAAAAACCACTCAGTGGCACGTTATTTTTACTCCGAAGAGTTTCAACAGCTCCGGCACGGCAACCGAGTATCCAAAGACATGACGCAAGAGCGGCACAGCAACTCTGTTTTGGGTGGCACCGTTCCAGTGTGCAAGTGAAGAGCCGGGGAAGCCAGCCCCTCTGATCCCCACGAGGTTCGCCGGAGCCTTCATCGGTCACTTCCAAGACTGATGGGGAGGCCGCCCGTGTCAGGGAGCGAAGGAACTGGCTAGGCTGAGATGATGCCGTTTAACGGGTAATGGTTTAGGTGGAGCGTTTGCATGCCAGAGGGTTCCTCGGGTGGCTGAACAGTCATGGTTTGGCCCAGGTGCTAAAGAGCTGCAGGTGTGTTTTACTGCACAGAAAGCCGCCGCCAGCAGACACCAGCTTTCTGATGCATGGTGAGTGAAAGGAAGAGAAAGCCGCCTACAAGTTAATGCCCACACAAAGCGGCCTTATACTGAATCAGAACCCTCGGTCCATCACGGCCAGTATTGTCCATGCAAACTGACGGTGGCTGTACCAGGTCTCTCAGGCACAGACCTTTCACGTCACCACTAGATCCTTTTTCACTGGAGATGTTGAGGATCAAACCTGGGACCTTCTGCATTCCAAGCAGATGCTCTACCATTGAGCCACGGTCCCTCCCTTTTTTTATGTTTTTTTTATTTTTTTTTCAATTTTTAACAATTCTAACACTTCAAACAGTGAACAATTAATCTTCCAATTACATTCACATACGGTCCCTCCCTAAAGTTAAGCGAGCAACACATATTAACCCTTTGCCTCACGCACTCGAAGAACAGTGTGGTATCTTAAAAGGCCACCTGTCCCCACGTGCACCCCACATGGCCACTCTGTTCTTCCCAAGAGCTCTGGCTGTTCCATCTCAGAGGGAGGTGAAATCGGTTTAGGCCCATTTGCCACCCTTCTCGGTCGCGCAGCCCCTCTGTCTTTTTGGTGTGTTAATCAGTACATTTGGGTGTTGCTCCTGATTTTATTGTAGGTTGTGGGCTTCAGGCTTTTAACTAATTTTATTTCTACTTCTAAGAACATAAGAGAAGCCAGTGTTGGATCAGGCCAAAGGCCCATCTAGTCCAACACTCTGTCACACAGTGGCTAAAAATACCAGGTGTCATCAGGAGGTCCAGCAGTGGGGCCAGGACACTAGAAGCCCTCCCACTGTTGCCCCCCCCCTCAAGCACCAAGAATACAGAGCATCACTTTTTTTAAGTGCCTTTTTTTTAAGTGCTGCTTTCCACTGCAGTGGTCGGCTAGTGTTTCGATGCTTTTGGTTGTCGTCATCTTAGATTTGTTATGTGTGTATATACATTTTGTAAGCCGCCTTAGGGGAGCTTTACTGATAGAAAGGCGAGATATATCTTTCCAGAATAAGTAAGTAAAATAAAAATAGTTTTAGAATGTTTTGAGAAAGGGACTCCCATCGGGGTTCCCATTATGTCTAAAGAATGCCAAAGTACCTTTGCCAATTCTGGATATTTATAATTTTTTTGTTTCAGCTCTGTGCTTTGGAGCAGCTGGGTGCCTGTTGAAGTAATGTTTTGCATTTATTTATATTTTGTTTTAATTTTTAAGTCTGCTTCCTCCCCCGAGACAAAACATTTTAAATGCATATACATTTAAAAAAAAGAAAAGAAAAGAAAGATGAGCATCGCACATGTTAAGACTTATAGCTCACCCCCTCAAAAGCCAGTCGTGGCTTTCCTTTTGTAACGCTTTGGCCTGTCAAACTGGACGTGACTCTTATAGTCTGCCGATCCGAATGACTTTCCCATCTGTGCGCAAGGAAGGAGAAACCAGCCATGTGCCCCTTTCCCCATAGAGGCAGTCCAACTGGGCTTTCTCCATGTCAACCGTATGTCTTCCATTTAACTTCCCAGTGGCATCCACAGCCGGCCCAGTTGTGAGACAGACTAAGGGTCAAACTTGATAAGACAGAGAGTCTTCTGGTGTCTCTTAAATGTGAATGTCAGGCGTGTGCAGCCTTTCTTTGGATCAAGACCGCACAGGGGAGAAAGGGGCACACTAACTCTTCCCGTGCTGGAATTCTGTTATCCTAGAAAGGGGGGTAAATATAGACCGGGTTGTTTTTTTTTAAAAGGTACTAACAGTTTCTGTGGGTAAAAGAAGAGTTACAGCCTCTCAGTTAGTTTTGAAAGGGAAAGCCCCTCCTTGGGCAGAAAATTTGGGGCCGAGACTAAAGGCAAGACATTCTGTCCAAAATACGTGCTCCCAGCCTCATTGGCTTCAGGCCTTTACGGTGATGGGATGTGGGAGCGCCACCAAAGAAAGCTTCCCGTCAGTCATGGTACATGAAGGTTTCTTCGAGCAATGGCCGCAAGGAAGCTGGTGGCAGTGAAGGTAGGCAGGGTCCTCTTGGAGGAGGAAGTGGCCGCTAAGACCAACCCTCCCTCCCTGTGATCAGCTGATCGCAGGGAGGGACAGTTTGTGTGGCCGCTTCCTCCACGCAGTTGCCCCCACAGCAGGGGAGGCCAACGCAGTGACTCTCCCTCCCCACCAAGGTTGCCAACTCTGGGTTGGGAAATACTGGGAGATTTTGAGGATGGAGCCTGAAGAGGGCATTTGGGGAGGGGTGGGACCGCCGCATGTATTTTTATTTTTATTTATTGTCAGATTTTTACCCTCCCCTCCCCACAGAGCAGGCTCAGGGCGGTACAGGGCCATAGGATTCACCCTCAAATCAGCCATTTTCTCCACAGGGAATATTTTCTGGAGTCTTGTAAAAGCGGAAGATCTCCAGGTCCCACCTGGAGTTGGCAACCCTACTCTCCACTTGTTCAGTGAACATGAGAGCCAGTTTGGTGTAGTGGGTAAGGGTGCGGACTCTAATCTGGGAGAACCGGGTTTGATTCCCCACTCCTCCACTTGCAGCTGCTGGATGACCTTGGGCAAGCCATAGCTCTGTCAGAGCTGTCCTTGAAAGAGCAGTTCTTGAGAGAGCTCTCTCAGCCCCACCTACCTCACAGGGTGTCTGTTGTGGGGAGGGGAAGGGAAAGGAGTTTGTAAGCCGCTCTGAGACTTCCAGTGAAGGGCGGGGTATAAATCCAATCTCCTCCTCCTCCTCCTCTTCTTCTTCTTCATCGTCATCATGTGGGGCTGCCCTGTACCCCAGGCTTGTATCCTGAAAGAATGAGAAAGCAGCCGGGGACAGGGAAGAATGGCAGTAGATATTATCTTGTTTGGTTTGCTGGCATATTTTTTCCATACGTGACAGCAACTTTATCAGGAACGTTTTTTTCCCCATCTTTCTTCTCCAGCTGCAAGATCTAATCATCCCCCAGATTGCCGCATTCAGCATCTTATCCCATTTTCTTCTCAGATGCAGCAGACATGCCAGCTCACCAACCCTGGGATCGCTGACGTGGCCCTCCGACCCGACAAGAAGATTTTGGCCACCGCCGGCTGGGATTACCGCATCCGGATCTTTGGCTGGAAGAAGCTAAGGCCGTTAGCCGTCCTGGACTACCACACGGCAACGGTCCATTGCGTGGCCTTCTCGGACCACAGTCAGTCCAGGGAAAGACTGATGGCAGCGGCCTCCAAAGACCACCGCATCAGCGTCTGGGCAATATATAATCAAACATGAGACAGGCCTGGAAAATTGGACACCAGGCCAGCGAACATTTACAGTGAAAGTGTTGAAACACGATAGGGCTTAGCAGCTCTTTCGTAAGTGCCTCTAGCAGCAGCAACACACTTTGGAAAATGTGTGTGGGGGGGTACATTTAATAGTAGCAATGCTTTCGTGTAGCCCTTTGCTTACATTATCTCGTTGCCGTCCCTGTGACGGGCCTGTGAGATGGACCCCACTGTTCTTTCGGTGTTGCTGGAGAGAAGGGTGCTGAGACTGGGAGAGACGCCCAAGGCCCACCTTGTGAGTTCATTTCAAAGGGAAGATTTGAACTGGGGGCTCTCTAGCTCACAGCTTAGCTGCCACAAACCATGCAGGCGTCTTTTTAGACTCGGTGGTACCTTTCTGGACTTGAGGAGCATATATTGTATCTGGGCTTCAATTAGTGTCGTTTTAAATAATTTCCAGGCGCCCTGGAGGGATCTGACTCTCTTAATTCTGCCTTTTAACTTCCTTCTGACTAGTCCCCTTATTTTTGCAAAGTTCCCCCCTTTTGAAATCCCAAGGGATTGTTTTGGGCTTTGGGGGCAACTTTCCCCTGACATGAATGCTGATCTTGATAGAACTGTGGTCACTGTTCCCAATCGTCAATAAAGCAAACTGTGGAGCGGATGAGGAATTTATTTATTTTTTTCCTTTGCTTCAAAGACATTAATGGCTGTGTACAGGGTTTCCTTGTCGTACTCCTTTTCCAGATAATGAAACTGAAGCTCAAATACTTTGGCCACCAAATGAGAAGGGAGCAATCACTGGAGAAGACCCTGATGCTGGGAAAGATTGAAGGTCAAAGAAGACGGGGATGGGCGGCAAAGGATGAGGTGGTTAGACAGTGTCATAGATGCAACGAACATGAAATTGAGCAAACTTCAGAGGACGGCGGAAGACAGGAAGGCCTGGCGTGATCTGGTCCATGGGGTCGCGAAGAGTCGGACTCGACTGTGCGACTGAACAACAACAACAGGGTTTCCCCTCCCTCCCTTTTAATCCTCACAGAAGTGCTGTAAGTGAAGTGGGGAGAAAACAATCGACCCAAAGACTGCCCAGTGAGCTGTGGGGATTTGAATCTGGGCCCTTAACAGTGCCACCTTAAGCAGAGTCACACCCTTCCAAACCCATTGACTTCAGTGATCTTAGAAAGCTGTAACAAACAACTCTACTTAGCATGGTGCTATAAACCACATTAGTTCTTTATACATAGAAAACTAACACGTCAGGGAGAGAAGACTGGGCTAGACTTAACAAAATTTGTGGCAGGTTGTGAGTTTCCGTGAATCAGTGCTCACTTCTTCACGAAAGCTCCTCCCCTTCCACAAATGTTGTTAGCCTTTAAGGTACTACTGGTCTCTTGCTCTTTTCTACTGCTACAGGTGGGCAGCCGTGTTGGTTTGATGCAATAGAACAAAGTTTGAGTCCAGTGGCACCTTTAAGACCAACAAAGTCAGGTGTGTACAAGAAAGCTGACACCCAGGCCAGAATTAAACTTTGTTGGTCTTAAAAGCGCCACTGGACTCAAACTCTGTTCTGCGGCTGCAGACAGACTAACAACGGCTACCCATCTTGATCTAAGACTAGGCTAGAATCTTTTCTTCCTGAAATGCCAGTTTTCAGTCTGCAAGGATTGAGTTGTTAATATGGGCAAATACTCGCTCGATGCAAGCAAGTTCAGGCATAGAGAAAGTGACTAGTCAGAGGACACCTTGCGAACCTCAAGCCTGCATGAGAATTTGAATCTGGATCTCCCTGTTCTAAGTGCAGCTATCTTGCCACCCTGCTTCGTTAACCGGAGGGGAAGCGTCAGCCTAACCTGGATGCCCCAAGTTAGCCCGATCTCGTCAGTTCTCAGAAGCTAAGCAGGGGCAGCCTTGGTTAGTATTTGGATGGGAGACCACCAAGGACGTCCAGGGTTGCTGTGCAGAGGCAGGCAGTGGCAAACTACCTCTGAACGCCTCTTGCCTTGAAAACCCTACTGGATCACCATATGTCAGCAGCCGCAACTTGACAGCATTTTCCACCATGTCCGTTGCAACAGATGGACTTGCTGAACTGAAGGAAGCCAGCGGGCAGTGGCTCTTGTGCCACAGACCTGCTTCTGTCAGCAGGTTTCCCACTCGAATGAAGATTGCAGATAATTGTCTGGGCTCTGTGTGCGCGCGCGCATGGCTGAATCAGTGAGATTTCTGCAAAGATATGCATGCAAAGCACTCTTGATTTCAACTTTGCAACATTAGACCACACGGGGGGGGGGTGTTCCCCCCCAATGCATGTGAATTTGGGGGTTTATCTTTTGCCCCTCCCTGTTCATTCTTATTAGGGCCATCTTTAATTTGTTCACACTCTTGTCAGTTTTCCGCAGCCAAGAATGTGGCAAGGGATGGCCTCTGGCATGTGCAAATTTCATTGCCTCTTGTCACCCCGGGCTTAGCAATCAATCAAGAGAAAAGGAGGAGGAGGAGGAAGAGAAACGATTGCCTGTGCTGCAGTCACCATTTGCAGAAGTGCTGGTGAGCCGTCTCAGAGCCACCGTTAAATCCCCCCCCACCGCAGCCCCCACCGATTAGCACAAGGGTTTCACTCTGCAATCCAATTCATGCCTTTCTTCTTGGAGACCTCAGGGTCTGTTTCCACTCTGGAGAACCAAACTCCATCATTCTCATTGGTATCTGTGGTGGCGGCAGAAAAACAGTATATTTGCCAGCCTTCTGCAGATGGGAACAGGGACACTCTCTTTTCTTATTGCCCCAGGGTCTACAACTTCAGCCCTCACCCTCCTTGGCGCATGGCTGAGGGCCTCATCTGTTAGATTCGTTCATTGACCTACCAATATCTGCATCCAAAGTGTCTTATAAAGAAATTTTAGGCAAAAGAATATAATTTTTAAATGGAGTGTGTGAGGTGTACCCAAATCGCTCCTCCTCCTCTTTGTGGCTTTGCTGGAGGACGAGGGAAGGGGGGAAGCATGCTGCTACGTCCTGCCACCAAGAGGGCACAGCTGTGGTCTCGGGCTATACTGGTTGCCGGGTCCCCCCTGCCAGATCTAGGTTGGGAAACTCCTGATTTTAGGCAAAAGAATATAATTTTAAAATGGAGTGTGTGATGTGTACCCAAATCGCTCCTCTTCCTCTTTGTGGCTTTGCTGGAGGACAAGGGAAGGGGGAAGCATGCTGGTACGTCCTGCCACCAAGAGAGCACAGCTGTGGTCTCGGGCTATACTGGTTGCCGGGTCCCCCCTGCCAGATCTAGGTTGGGAAACTCCTGCAGATTTGGGGGCGGAGCCTGGGGAGAACAAGGACCACAGTGGGGTACAGTGCACGACAGTCCAGCCTCCAAAGCATCCCTTGGGCAAATCTCTGACAAAGGGAGTGTTGACTCCTGAAAGCTCATACTCCCCAACTCTTCTTGGCCTCTAAGGTGCTGCTGGATTGGAATATACCTGCAATTCCCATGGTTCCCTGGGTGGAAAGATATTGCTAAAGCAGTATTCCACGTTGTCCGTGTCCTAAGAAAACAAAGGAGAGGGGACAGAGAGGCATGTAAGTCTTTTCTTTAGACAATTAAAACTGCTTCCTATGTTGCAGGGAGGGGGGGTCAGAGGTGCATCTCCGCTGTTTGGGGACTGTTTAAAAAACTGAACCGTGTACAGACTTTCCTGGAGCTAACAGAGCACATAATCCGGAATTGAAACAGCTTTATAATTCAGCCCTGACCCTCACCTGGTAGAACTACAGGAGTGAGTTGCTTGTACCTGCAGCCTAGCAAAGGTGATGACAACTAAATTAAGGCACCAAACCTCCCTCCCAACAAGAGGAGGATCGTGTGATTAGGGAAAGGGGGTGAAAGCAACTGGCATTCCTAAATTAATTGAAATAAATCTCAAACACCAGCATTTGTCCACCAATTACACGGGATATTCATCACAGCGGAAAGGGACCGCTGATCTCTGACCCCCAGACGTTTCCTGCAAATGAATCAATTAGTTCCAAAGCTCTTCCTCCTCCTGGCTGGTGGGAAGTTCCTCTTCTCTTCTCTGCTCCCCTCCCCACAGCCCAGTTGGAGGACTGTGAACTTGTGTTCAGAGCTAGGAGCGGCAAAGGGAAATCTCCAAGGACATCCCTGTGGAGGAGCAGGAGCCACACCCTCGCACCCCTGTGCCCCCCCCCGCTCTGAAAAGCAAGCCCTTGAAAGCAAGCAATGACAACTCTGCTGAGCTTTTGCAAGGATTTAGGTAACTCGTCGTTACGAACCATTGTAAAACTGGCTTCCTATTTATATAGCAAGCTTCAGGATGATGCACATGCTTCTCTATTTTCTTCTCCACAGCAACCCTGTAAGGCAGGCTCAGAGGAGGTGACCCGCCCGGGGTTTTTCTCCTGCATGTAAGAATGGGACCCTGGTTCTCCCCAGTGCTAGCTTGATGATGTTACTCTTATGCACAGCCTTTTCTCACAAATATTTCCACAGCCATCCTACGTACTGAGATTTCTTGGCGGGGGGGACGGGACTGGCCTCTCTCAGGCCCTGTATGTCATAAAGTGTAATGCCAGGTACCGGAGATATAGACTTTATAAAGGACACAGGCAAATTAACAATATATCTTTTTACTAAAAATACAAATGAAAGCAATTTATTCCTAGCAGTGAAAGCAATTGAATTACTGGGGACCCCACAAAAGCCCCAATAAATGTATTTAACCAAATGAAGGACTGGTTTTGTTCCCAAGGGATACCATAAAAGGGGGGGGGGGATATCTTGCGTTTCCATACAAATTAGTTACTTTTTGTATATATAGCACTTTTAGGAGATGAGTCATCGTCCTTGCAAATATATACGGTAGTTTTTCAGCACCCTCCCATACACCCAGCCTCAGCAGCTGAGGGTGGCTACAATCCGTCTCTTGCTGTTTGCTTCCTTTCTTCCTCCATCCTACCCCTGAGGATCTTGAGGAGGCACGCCGGATTCCGCCCTCCACCGCCCCATCCCCAACAATAACAACCTTGTGAGGTGGGCCAGGGTGAGCGACTGGCCACGGGTGACCCAGACAACAAGGTCCTGGCTCAGGAGGGGTCTGTACCTGGCTCTCCCAGATCCCCCCCCACTCATCCTCATCCCTCCTGTTTTCCCCACAAAATCAGTGGGGCTAAGGGAAAGGCCTGACAGAGATGTCGTTTCTGAAAACTCCGGGGGACGTTTTTGTCTTCCCGTGACCCCTTTTTCCGTGGGGGGGGAGAGAAGGGAGGTCGCCATCCCACACCAGCCCTGATGCTCTGCCTCCCAACTCAGCAGCTGTTCAGACATGCGGCAACAACTACATCAGTGCCCCTTTTTTCCTTCACTTCTCCTAGAGTTGCCAGCCTCCAGGGGGGGGCTGGGGATCTCCCGCTTTCACAACTGATCTCCAGCTGACAGAGAACAGCTCCCCGGGAGAAAATGGCTGCTTTGAAGGGTGGACTCTGTGGCTTTGTACCATGCTGAGGCCCCTCCCCAAACCCCGCCCTCTCCTGGATCCACCCCCAAAGTCTCCAGGTATTTCCCAACCCAGA